ATGTAAAAGAGTATAAAAGTTCAGACAGGTGAGTTATGCTTGTTACCTGCACGCTTCTCATTCATTTCTGTCTTCACTTTAACATCAGGTTCCAAATCAATGGTAAGTGCCTGAATTTCATACCCTAAGCAATTCATGGCCTGCAAAAGGGAAGAATTTTAAGAAGGAAGTTGAAGAAGACCATTAATTCCCAGAGTTTACTGTGTACCACTACTGATTTAAGTAACGTATCACCGGTTTGAGCTTATCTTCAACAGCTCTTTTAATTTCGTTCTTCCGTTCAATAGCATCATTCAGTTCCAAGTTTGGCACTCTATCCCCTATAACTGAAGAGATACAAAGAACTAGGTGTTAGATCAATTCAATGAAGACATGAAGTGATGAGATTGAACTATCCAAGTTTGAACTTATTGCCTACATCACCTACAATGCTGTATTTTCAAATGTGAAACCAAACATACCATCCTCAATACAGACTCGGATTTGTGCCTTGGCACTGGTGATATTATAGAAAGCAGCCCTTGCTTTCTCTTTATCTTTCTCTTCCAAGGCACCGTATCGGTATTGAACAGATGCATACACAGTGACAGACACATCATCCTGAAAAAAGACAGTGTGAATCAAACTTCTTCACTTCAAAAAAAAGAAAAAAAAAGAGAGAGTAGCTATTGAAAATTTTAGTTTTTACCATGACTAAATTTATGATATATACCGAGGCATAAAAAACTTTCACCTTATACAGGGAGGTAAAAGTATAGTAAAGGTAAAGGTAAAGGTAAAGGTAAAGGTAAAGAAACTGAAAACCTGGGTCTTAGTTTCACATCGAATATCAAGTGGCTGCAGGCTAAGTGGTATTCTACCAACTATGTTGCAGCCAAAGCACCATGGCACATAGTGACATCCAGGCTTAAGCACATTCTTAAACTTGCCGCACTTTTCCATAATAGCCACATTTGATTCTTGGACACGAACGCAACCGAGTGCTTGACCCATTCTGAATTCAATTATGCAAGTATATTAGCATTGTAATGACAATCAACCAAAATTGGAAGAAAATGTTTGAACATGCAGCTGCTTCCCTAAATCATAAATCCTTAATGCACCGATCTACAAAATCCTCCATATGAAATACATGTAAGGCAAAAAAATGGCTTCATAATTCATATAACACAAACAAGATCTCATATCTCATATAAAATCCACACAAACATCCCACCCCCCTCACCCTCCAAGAATGAGATTTGGTACCGAAAGAACGGGCAAAACAACAAAGAAAATACTGAGAATGAAAGATTTTCATATACTTATGTTCTCTAGTATTGCTTGAGTTGCCTACGGTTTCAGAGGAAACAAACAGAAAATACAGAGCTGAGAGGGTTATGGGTAACACTTTGGCAAAGGAGGAAGCTTTGGCCCTTTGTTTCTTCTAAGAATGTATAAAGAAACAAGAATGCTGATACTTATAAAGGACAGTTTTTGCTGCCACTCTGCAACCTTTGAGTTACAATTACGATCAGAAAAGTTTATTCCACCAACTAGAGCTTAGCCTTCATTTGTGGTTAAGGTCAAGGATTCAAACTTATCATGTCAAGCAACTATCCTTTCAATGTATATAGTAAAAAAAGTTTATTCCTTTTATCATTTTTCTAATTGAAGGAAACTAGCACTGGATGCCTTTCCAGGTGCCTTCCAAAAAATCACTCCATCCCAGCTAATGGTTTTTTTACCTGCAAGAAAAAGGATTTGGCATTAAAGAGAAAAGAAAAAATTTTAATATCAGAAGATCTAATTATAACTATTTAATACATGGGATATAGTATAGGTTATAACTCTATTAAATTCATGATGTAATTATTATTAAACATTCTGATATTTTTAATAATATAACATCTTATTTTTTTTCTTTTCTCTTAGAGTAAATATAACATTCAATGTGAAATTTTTTTCTTGAATTGAATTTGATGTAATCGAACTTTTAGTTATTGAATTTGAATTCCATCTTTTCATTCATTATATCTATTAAATTACCAACAAAAACTTGTTTAAGTTGGTATCCACTAATTTAAA